TTTGGTGATGCATGGTAACAGGGAGTCCCAAAGGGCAGATTGGTGGTGTTTATCAGGTTAACATAGATTCAGAGTTGTCACTGGTGGTGGGCCTGAAACCACTTAGCAAAAGTCTCTGGGTATATTTGTGCCAGCCACCACCCACCTGGAGGCTGTGGAGCTTTGTGGTCAGGTTGGTTCTCAGGGAGTTGTCAGGGTAAAGGCTTTTGCAGATTCAGATTTGGTCTTGTAGGAAGAGGGCCCACACAGGGACAATGGCAGTTGACCCTTCAGTCATTACTCTGAAGCCACATAACTCAGTTTCTCCCTCTGTGTCTCTGGTAACGCCCACACTTAACCAGGATTCCCCAAGAATTTTAAAAGAAAGATTGCAATGCAGGCACAGGCTGGTTGCTGCCAACAGAGCCTCAGGCTATGCACAAATTTAATAGAGAGGGGTCTTAGGGCATCATCAGAGTAGAGCTAGTGGAGTTCACTGAGCTAATGTAGATTCAGATTTGGCCTATGAGTGGACATCTCAGCCAGGAAAGATGATGCCAGTCAGCAGTGAGGGAGGAAGTCTCAACACAGGGGCAATGGTGGCTGTCCCTTTGGAAAATGCCCTGAAGCCACAAACTTAGTTTCTCCCTGTATATCTCTGGAATCCCTGAGGTTGGGTAAAATTCCTCAAGAGATTTTAAAGAAAGACTGCAATGTGGTTCCAGGCTGGTTGCCCCTGAAAGACCTCAGGCCATGTACGAGCTGGGGGAGTAGGATGTTAGAAAGTCATTAGGGTGAACCTAGTGGAACTCATCAGGCTAATGTAGATACACATTTGGACCTCTAGTAGGAGGGCTACACCCAGGAAAAATGGCTGTCTGTTGCATGGGAAGACAGCTTAATACAGGGACAATGGCGGCCAGTCCTCCAGCCCTTTCCTTAAAACAAACAACTCAATTTCTCCATGTCTGTCTCTGGCACCCCTGAGCCACTAACCCTCTGCCAGAGCTCAAGGTGAGAGTGTGTGCATTGGCCCTTTAAGAGAATGGTTGGGTTTCTAGCAGCCTTGTGTATTACCTGGACAAAAAGAACCCACGCTGATTTTCACAGTCAAATGTTATGTGGGTTCCTCTTCCTCTCTGGACTGAAGATCTCAGCAAGGACCTGAGACTCCTCACTCTTCAGGGAGGACTTCTGCAGCTGAGATATCCCTCTGGATTCTCAACTGTCACACATGGGTGTGGGACCAATCCATTTTGCATCTCCAGCCTTCCTACAAGTCTTGACATGGCTTCTTTATATCCTTAGTTATGGAACTTTTGTTTAGCTAGTCTTCATATGGATATCCAGGTTGATTGTTGTTAGGAAACACCCTGTCTGGTTTCAGGAAATGTAATCCCGCTGACAGGTGAGAGGAGCCCAAGGCTGGAAATAATCAAGGAGACCTTAGGAAAACAGGCCACTGAGGAGAAGAAACCTGTACCCCTGGCAAGGGCACAGCCCCTGCCTCTGTCACATCCCCCTGTTTGGCCCTGTGATAGTTGCTTGTTGATGACAGGTAAGTTTTCTCATGAGGAGAAACAACCTAAGACAGACATGGGCCAGTATGAGCAGCAGACATGGAATTGGGGGACATGGAGAAAGGACAAAAAGGCCTGCATCCCTCGGCTTGGCTTGGATGTGGCCGGAGTCCTCATTCTATCTGAAAGAAGTCTCCTAGTCTCTTGGCAGCTCCCTCCCCTCTCCTGGCTCAGGTTCAAAACAATACTGGAGATAGCCGTAAACTAAATCTGGTGGTTCCCAGGGAAAATCAGACCTAAAAGTAAATTCTTTAAAGTATGTTTTTTTTCTCCATCAAAAGTTATAACAGCCAGCTCATGCTGGGAATAAAATTTACGTTATTCACAGACCCTAACCTTATACGCTTTGGTGTTCTTATGTTTACTACGTTCTCATGTTTACTCATCTCTCTTGTTTACTAGTCTCTCATTCCCATGTAAATCAGTGTGTTCCTTCCATTTGTTTTCTTCAAAACATCATCTATTCTCTGTAAACATTAACATACTGATGTAATGAGATAACCTGTGCATTCCTGTTACTTAACCCCACTGATAACCCTTTTAATAAAAGCCTTTGAACAAAGGGGCTCAGGGCCTTCCTCACTAGAGGGAAGAGCCATGTCTCCTCCCTGGCAAACAGAGAAGTGTTTGTTGTGATGACTCGTGTTTATTCCCCACATCCATGACAACCCCAGGATGGGCTCTGCCGGATTTAGAGCCTGCGCTCCCATCTCAGCTGGCCCCAGACGATAACCCTCAGATCCCAGAGCACCATGCTCCCTGTGCTGCACTCCATCCCCATGCATCAGGTGGCACCTGGACAGGGACTTGAACCCAGGACACGCACCGCCCCACGCAACAGATTGTTTTATAATTTAGTTGTAATTTTCATGTGTCCATGGGTGGAAGTGAATGTAGCGTCCCTATACTCCACCATTTTGGCCAACCAGGAGCGGCCTTTATTTAGGACTTCATCATTCTCAGGGTCAAAATGATGAATTCTCAATTTTCAGTTTTGGTGAGAGTGGAAATTGTTTTCCACTTTTTCAGATATACCTTAAAAACATAAAATAGCTTGCCTGGGATAAATGATAAAGCCAAGACTAGAGGCACTGGAGTTGCAGTAGACTGTTTTTTGGAATCACCAGCCTATATTGAATCCATACTCAGCCATTTGTAGCTGTGTGACCTTGGGCAAGTGCCCTAAGCTTCAAGCCCCAATGCCTCCATCTGTAAAATAGGGATAATACTAGTACCTAATTAATAGGGTTATTAACAGAATTGAATGAGATAAAGCATGTAAAAGGACTTAGTATATTGCCTGGTGCAGGGTAACAAAACAATGTGTTAGTAGTTCAGCATCATCATCCATAGCCTTCGTCCTTCCATTACACCTTACTGCACTAGACAATGAAGAAAACATGAAGTCTTCCAAGAACTTAGAATATTCTTGGTGACAGAACAAATGATGTGAAAATAGTTACAAAAATACTTTTGTTAACTCAGTCCTTGGTACAGAGTAAATGCTGAATACATGTTAGCTAATATTATTTGTATTGCTTCTCCATTAACCTTACCTGATGAACATGGAAGGTATCTTGCGACAATTCATTGGGAATATCAGATCTCTATGAACTCTTAATTTACAGAAAACTTATGCCAGCAGCAACTCCCTAATTACTTTATCCTCCCTAAGTAGGTTTATGGGAGAACTAGAAGACCTAGTTTTGGGGGCCAGTGCAGTGTGATTTCCAAAGATCCTGATGGGGCCTGGATCTCCCAAATTCTTTTGTCACTTTGCTCCCTGGCATATCCCACAAATACTTAGCACTTGATGAAATATTAATCTGATCAAAGGTGACAAGCTTTTCCCCCAAACCAGATGGAGCCAGGGAGGACTCCTCATCACCACAAATAGTTCCTGCAGTCCAAGAGCAAAATGAAATGCAACAGTGACACCATGCTAGTCCCGGGTGCCAACATAGTGATATGCTGTTGTTTGGGAGACTGCAAGGACATGAACATGTTGTGGGATCTAAAATGACTCCTCACAACGTTTGTGCCTTTTGAGTAAGTTTAAGGTATGTTTAAAATGTAAATTCCATTTGGGATGGCAGTAACACAATTTATTGGACACTCTGCATTTTATATATAGTCTCATTTAATCTTCCAGATAAGGGATTATTAACTTCATTTTCAAATGAGAAACTTCAGAGTAAGAACTTGGGTATCTTTCCCAAATTTATGTCTTACGATATTAAAGGCTTTTCTCAATCTGTAATATTTTCCCCTTCCACTTTCTTGGGCTTTTTTTTTGCATATTTATTTCTGGTGTGAATAAATTTGACCTGTAGGCCATGTGGGAACTAGAGAGTAACAATAGGAATACCCAATATGTCAAAGTTATCAAAGTTCAATAGGCAGGCTGATTGCAAATTCCTCATGGTTCAGGGTAAAATCCTTAGCTTTGTAGATCCAAAAACTCAGTCTATTTGGTACATGCAAAGTAGTCAAGTCCTGTGGGACTGTTTTGCACTTTCAAAAGACTGACATATAAACCAGGAAGTCATTTATTAATTTACAGCTGTATCTAGTGGAATAATGCACATTTGTTATTTGCTCAGGGAATTTCCTCTGGATGGACAAGTCATTTAGAGAACCAAATTACACATGGAAAGATTGTTTAATGAGCACAGAGTTTGAGCAAAGGAAGGGGACATTCTTAAATGCTATAGTTTAATCTTCATCAAATAAACATAGCTAGACAAATATCCTTCTCTACTGTGGGGCTATTTTTACTCAATGACTCATTCATAGAATGGGCTGTGTCCCACTTTTCTCCAAAAACTAGAAATTATTCCCATATTTTTATTCTCATTCCCCCTTCTTTCATTCCTAGTTTTTAAATTACCATTCCCTCTTCATATTTTTCACCACAATCTCATGTCATGCCAGGGAAATTCCAAAATACTTGAATGGATTACAGTGTTTCCACAGTTGTCACATTTCAGTCACTCTATTTCCTTGATGGACCTTGAGGAAGACTCAAGTCTTTTTGATGAAATTCTAGTGACACTTATCTATGACACACTACAAACCTTATCCCAAAGAAAACCTTTTCCAAGGAGGCCAGGATCACCTACTATGAATCAATCCTACTGAGCTTTAATTTTCATGGCTTACCTTTTTTGTTCTTGCCCCATCCATCCAACTTCACAGAGAAAAGAGTGTGTTGATGTTGTTCTTTGTGCACTAAATGGAGGGGGGAAGAAGTTTAAAACTAATACTAGATAATCAAAGGAAGTAAAGCAAGCTTCACCTATTTCTTTTTTTAAATTTTTTTGACAGATCTTGCCTCAGCTTTATATGTGCAAATACCCTAGGAGGACACCAGCTCCATGCAGACAGCAGCCCAGGGGTCATACCAGTCCTTCTGTCCTTGTCTGCAGACAGAGACCTCTACTATGGAGACTTTGTGGGGACCCGCACACCTTTGGGAGCCTGATTCTGAGCCCGAGCCTGAGTCTGAGCTGCATCAGCAGCCTGGGGCTTTGTTCGAGCCTTGGCCTTGGCCTTTGGCCAGCAGAGCCCAAGACCCCTGGTGATGCAGCACAAGCATGTTTCCAAAGCTTGGGGTGAGCAGTGTAGGCAAGTTGACTGAACTTGTATTTGTAGCTGCTGCCCTTTGGAATCTTGGGCTTGACCTACTTGGGCTTTATGATGTCCTTGATGGCCATAGCACATGCGTTCATGGTCTTGGCATTGTTGGCCTGCATCTTCTTTGAGCTCTTCTTGCTGTGCTTCTTGGCAAAGTGTATGTTCCTCAGGAAGTTGGGGTCTACCCCCTTAAGAGATTCGTGTCTTTGTGACTGGGGTTTCTTGATGCTGTTTCTGTGCCTTTTTGGGACTGGTTGTGCATGGTTCTTGGACTTGGCCATATTTGTACCCAAGCCCATGGCTCCCAAAGTGCCTGGGACCTGGAGAAAAAGAGTGCTTCATTTATTTCTTAATCTTCCCTGAGCTCTGTTTTTTCACTCCAGAACCCTGATTGCCAGATATATTTACTTCTAAGACTGAATCTTGATTCTTCCCAAACCCTTTAGACACCAACCAGGTAAATAAAGACATATTTAAATCATCTGTCTTTTTGACTGATAAAATTAACTAATAGCAGATTGATTTAAACAACTCAGCACTTACTTTTGAGACACTATAATAGATAAGAGGGCACTGTACAAGTCACTCAGTAAACACTGGTTGAATTACCCTGTTCTTTAAGTTTCCTAGAGATGAGAAAAGGAACTATAATTCTGAATCACTTCCCCTAGATAATCAATAGTTTTAAGAAATTGTGCTATGTAGTTATCCCCATACACCCTATGAACAGAAACAGAATGTAAATAAATTAACTGTTTCCTATATTTATATCTCTTTTATTTCTATTTGAAGTCAGACCAAGTCTTAGCAAATTAAACCCAAAAGTGTTGACAGGTCCTTGAAAACATAGATGAAGGTCTGGATCTAATAAGGGCCAAGTATTTGGCTTTTTAACTGATGGAATTTCTTAGGGAAATAAAGCATTTATAGGTCTGAGCACATGGCTATATTGAAGTCAGCAGGGTTATGGTCATGCACAGACTTTGACCTCAAAACAGAGACCCTGTGGCACTCAGTCATTTCTCCTGGATGAGAGGGACTGGTCTAGGTTCCATTGCCTACTGGGCTGCATTTAGGGCTTGTCTTAGGGTCCCTCAAAAAGTCTTCAACAACCTTTTAGTTTGGAATTCCTCCATTTTCTTACTTTCAATGAGCTTAGTCTTGTGTGCACATATCTGTGAATGAGTGTATGTGTATGTGTACATGTGACTGTGTTGTGAGAGGAGGGCTGGAAGTGGTATAGAGGAAACAAAGAAAGAGGCTGAATTTACTGAGGTGTTTTAATTGCTTTTCATGCCAAAACAAGAGAAAAATCCTCCAATTTCTCTAAGCTTATCCTCATTTCCCACCTCTGCTGCTTGACTATTTTCCTGTGGTATTTGTTTGCCTCTACCTTGCCCTTTGTTCACCATCTACAGGCTTGAATCAGATTCCAATATATCCCAAAGCAGAGGCCAAAAGGCTAACCCAAAGCATACCCCGCAAATACTTAGCACTTGATGAAATATTAATCTGATCAAAGGTGACAAGCTTTTCCCCCAAACCAGATGGAGCCAGGAAGGACTCCTCATCACCACAAACAGTTCCTGCAGTCCAAGAGCAAAAGGAAATGCAACAGTGACACCATGCTAGTCCCGGGTGCTGACATAGTCATATGCGGTTGTTTGGGAGACTGCAAGGACATGAACATGGCTGACTAAAGCGATACACATGTATAGATAAGTGAATTAGAATGATTTTATTTTTAAAGTTTTCATGGTGATGACTTGTAGAGTATTATGATTATCTTGGGTTTTTTTAAATTGAAAATTAGTAAACTGACTCTAAATTTTCTCCAGAAGTGTAAATGCCAAGAATATTCAGAATTTTTTCTCTCCCCACTCCAGTTTTATTGTGATATAATTGACATATAACATTGTGTAAATTTAAGGTGTAGATGTGTTGAATTGATATACTTCTTTGTTGCAAAATGATTATCAACATAGTGTTAGCTAACACCTTTTACTTCACATAATTACCACTTCTTTTTCTGTGGTTAGAATATTTAAGATCTATTCTCTCCGCAATTCTCAAGTATATAATACAGTACAGTATTATTAACTATAATCACCATGCTGTATGTTAGATCCTCATAACTTACTCATTTTTTAATAGGAAGTTTGTATCCTTTGACCAATATCTCCCCATTTCCCCCAAACCTCACCCCTGGTAACCTACTCTCTGGTAATTCTACTCTCTCTTTCTATGAGTTTGGCTTTTTTTTTTATTCTAAAATTGTGCTGGTTTTAACAACACACTTTGGGGTGATGGCCTAGGGGTGTGGCTCCTGTATGTGGTATACAGCTGAGTAAAAGAACAAGTATCTATTTAACTTATTTTCCTCAGAGCCTTCTGCAAGGTGTTCCTAACATCTTTGGCCCTGTCCCTCTGCTCTTTCTCTATATATAATATATGGCAAAAGTAGGAAATTATTGAAAATAATACAATAATTAATAAATAATAATACAAGTATAAACTATGTTTCATGTACTCACAACTGTAAACCTACTTTTGTCCCCCTTGTATCCATTCTTGAAATGTCATGCACCTTTTTAAAAAACATTATCTATTCCTAGAGAGAGAGGAAGGGAGGGAGAAAGAGAGGGAGAGAAACATTGATGTGAGAGAAACATCGATTTGTTGCCTCTTCTACACACCCCTACTGGGAACTAGAACACAATCCAAGTCCTGACTGGGAATTGAACCTTTAACTTGGTGGGCTGACACTCAACCAATTGAGCCACACTGGTCAGGGCCAGCTTTTTAAAAAATTAATTAACTAAGAGAAGAAAAGAATTAGGAGTTACACATTAACTATTTTGGATCCAGAAAACTTGCCTTCTAATCCCAGGTCCACCACTTAATCAGTTGTTTAACCTTGGGAAAAATCACCTATGGCAGGGAAAATGTTAAGTATTTCCTCAAGATTCCCATACCCTGGTTATTTAACCAAACACTTATGCTGTGTAGGGACTCTGCAGATGTAACTAAGTTGCTAATCAGCTGACCTTAAAATAGGGAGATCTGGAGGAAACTTTGGGAGGTGATGATATACCTATAACTTTGATGAGTTCATGAATTTATACTTATCCCCAAACTCATTGAATTGTATACATTAAATTTGTGTTAATCATAGCTCAGTAAAGTGATTTAAAACAAGAGGAAGGCAGAGGGGAGGTCAGAGAGATTTGAAGTATGAGAATGACTCCAACCACCATTGCTGCCTTTAAATATGGAGGAAGACCAACTTCTGAGAACAACCCTTAGCTGATAGTCAACAATGAAAATAGGACCTCAGGCTATATGGGGCGAGAGCAGGAGGAAGAAGATGTCAGCTGTGTAAGTTCGGTTCCGCCAGGAGTCTCCATGGAGAGCAGCAGGGGCATCACCAGCCTTGTCCTCCAGCTGTGGGGGCAATGCAGGAAAATCTCACAAGGATAAGAGGATTGTCCTGAGCAAGGTGGTTATACAGTGCCTTCCTCCCAGCCTCACAAAGGAGCAGCTGGAAGACCACCTGTACCTGCAACCTACACATGATTACTTAGAGTTCTTTACTGCGAATCTCAGTCTTTATCCTCATTTCCACTCAAGAGCATGTGTTAATTTTAGAAATCCTGGTGACATTCTTTTTTTTAGAGATTGTTTTGATAGATATATCTTGATTGAAAACAAAGGCCTAGAGTATCCAGCAATGGTAGAGTTTGTTCCATTCCAGAAGATAACCAAAAAGAAGCTAAAAAAAAAAGATGCCAAAACTGGAAGTATTGACAATGATCCAGAATATAAGAAGTTTTCAGAAACTTAGTTTGTGGAGGAAGAGAAAACTAGTGCCAATCCTGAAACTCTTCTGGGAGACATAGAGGTAAAGACAAGAGAACTTATTGCTCTAAGAACCACACCTCTTTTGGAATACATTAAAAATAGAAAATTAGAAAAGCAAGAATTTGAGTAGAGAAGTGAGAAGAGCAAAGGTGAAGGGAGTTGCAAAATAATTGCATATGGGAAGAAGAAAAAAGAAAGACAAATGAAAAAAAGTGTAAGAGAAAAGAAATAGACAAACAAAATTGCTAAGAAAGAAGTAAGGATTAAGACAAAGAGTGTATCTCACTCAGTGTCTAATGCTTTAACATTTTGAAAAGCACTTTTGTCAACAACTTTGAAAGTTTCTCAGGAAGAATCACTGAAACCCGTAACATACAATTTCAACCATAATTTTAAGTAAGACTTAGAGTCACAGATAATAGATACCTGGTTAAAGGGGGCGCAGAGTGGTTTAGAGACACTTAAAGAGAGACTAGAGATGGAGGCTATGGGGAGAGAACAGAGAGACTAGCCAGCAGGATCCCGAGGCTGTTTCCTCCCCGATATGGCAGCAGCCATCTGGCTCAGGCAGACCACTCTCCTGAATGGCAGCAGCATGGGATCTAATACCCTGCCACCAGGAGGGACCGGGTCAGGCAGGGTGGTATCTAGGCCAGACTGCTGAGTTCAGAGTGAATAGATTGACACCTGAAGGAGGCAGCCACAGAAAGCAGATTCCTGGAAGTCTTGAACAGACTGCCTAAGGTCAGACAAAGTCAACATCTGACACTGTCACAGGCAGATCGAGAAAGAAAAAACAGCAGTCTCCAGAAAGAAAAAACAGCAGTCTCCTACTACAGAAGTTCACACCACAAAGTCAGGAAATCAAGACCGATCAATTCAAGAAGCAGTAGCAAAAGAGAAGAGTCTCACAAATAATGGGAAAACAAAGAAACACCCTCTAATGGAAGGGAAAAAAGGAATCCCCACAAAGAGAACTAAATGAAATAGAGGCAAGTAAACTGTCAGATACTAAGTTCAAAACAATGGTTCCAAGGAAGCTCCATGAGCACAGTGAGCTCAGAGAGAATTACCAAAGCGACAGTGAAACTATGAGAAACTTACTGCAAACTATATCAGCATGAAAAAGGACATAGAAACTATCAATAAGATGAAAGAAGAAAGGAAGCATAGAACTTCTGAATTGAAGAACACAGTAGAAGGAATCAAAAGCAGGCTAGACGAAGCCGAGGATCAAATCAGCAAGCTGGAGGACAAGGTAAAAAAAGCTCCCAGAAAGAGCAAGAAAATGAAAAAAGACTCAAAAAGAATATAGAGGCATTTAAGGAAATGCAGGACAACCAGAAACGTAATAATACCCATATAATAGGGATACCAGAAGGAGATGAAGAGGAGCAAGGGATAGAGAACTTGTATGAAAAAGTAATGATGGAAAACT